ACTCTAAGACCAGAATACTAGGAACTCTCTTTGTCTATAGTAATAGTCTGGGAGTAGAGAGTAACCATCTCAACCCGAAGTCTTATCTCTTGATCTCTGCGCTCTCTGCAGCCATTACACTGAAAGTCCCCAATCTCCCAGTTGCTGTCCTTAGAAGAAAAACCAGCTTTGGTGCTTGAACAACTCCCAGGATCCCTGGTTTCTCTTGGTATTTGATATCCATAGTTTTCTTACTTTCATGCTGGTTCATAAGGTTTTTGTTTTGTTTTTAAATTACCCAGAATTTTAGTTGACTTTATCAAGAAGTTTGTTAAAAGTGTTCAAAATGAGCACTTAATTTGCATTCATTTATATGTATGATCTGCATTAAATTATATGGTTTCCAAACTAAACACACTCCATCACGATGCAAATATTTAGACATCTTGAAGAATGCAACCCTTGAGCGGAATCCAGCATCTACTGACTTATGAAGCACCTGTCACTTGTTTCCCAGCTGTCCCATGTTCTTTGTGTTACTGACCTCCTTCTTTCTGTGTCTTTTCTCAGACTTGAAAAGAATGAGATTATTTCCATACTTCTTTCCACAGGGAATCAGCTACAAATATATAACGTGAGTTGACTGGAAAAGTTCTAAGAAAGCAATTCTCTAATCAGATGATCTCTGAATGACTCAAAACATCATGAATTAAAGCAATGGAATGGTGAAAATAAAAATGAAACAGAGCTTAGGAATGTTGCATCTGCTTTTGGTCCTCTTGAACAATGCTTTCCTTTTGGGCCACCCAACTTTTCCATGTTTTAAGTATTAAGATCACATGTATTGGTAAGATTGTGAAGCACTACTCTTAGTTCTTGTACAAATGCTAATTCTACAGCCTTAAGGCCAGACTTTCTAATTGAGTTTCTGAGCACTTCCTGTTTTTTTTCAATATCTCATTAGCCCTACATCTAAATAGATTTTATTTTTTAGAAATTTATTATGTTACAACCGTCCCTTGTGTAAACCCAGAATTTATTGAACATAATGTTTAAAAACACAGACTTGAACCCTAGACCTAAATTGAAATGAAGACCTACCATTTAAAAGCTATTCATCTTGAATAAAACATACTTTCCTTATATGTAAAATGGGAATAATTATGGTACAACTCATCAGATTTGAGGTTAATAAGGTAATGCCTATAAAATGCTTGGCTCATGCTCGATACATACTATGTGTTCAGTAGATAAATAATGTTTCTATTATGAATCATTTTTTATTTCTATGATATCACTATAACAATGCATAAAATGTTTTTCAATGCTTTTAACCTGACTATTCGTTACCATCCCTGAGTACAGAGTAGATTTGTGTTTCTTGTGGGATTTAGAGCAAAGTTTTAGAAATTAGGATGGCAACTTCAGGTGGGCAGAGGATTTTGTCTGCTTCGTTTTCTTCTACAGTTCAGATCCGAATGCTATGCCTTATATAGAGCAGATCATAAATATATCTGCTGAATTAATGAATGAATGAATTACATAAAGTCAAAAAATATAAACGGACTATGACATTGGACATAAAATAGTAGAAAATCAAGGATGATGGTCTTATTTCATGTGAACAAACTCCATTTCAAAAATAAACTTTTTTTTGGAATTTTGCATAACAATATATTAATTTAATCTAACAATGATCACTTTTACAATTTAAAGTACCAAGTGTATACAATGTTAGAATAAATAAAATATTTTCTTGTAGCAATTAATTTTCATCACTTCTTGTTAGAATTATGCTTTGCAATGTTCTCTGTTAAGGAATTTCAAAAGTTTGTGGTTGTGATGTTCATCTATGTAATAGAAAACATTTGTGATATCCTGAAATAAACAAATGATTGTGAACAAAAACTTTTTGATATTCTGACAATGTAAAATGTTAGTTTCAGATTGAGATAGTAGGGTCACATTTTACAATTTGATTTCTACTTATATTTCTATATTTTTTGTGTCATGTAAGGGTAAGTTTTGCAGGACTAAAAATTGTCATTTTCTATTACAAACTAGACTCATTATTGGTAAAATTCTTCAATCATAAAATCTGACATCATTTAAACTTTCAAAGCTAGGGCAGGAAGCATAATGACATGAGTCAGTTACAGTTAGATAAGTAATCATCCTATGGGAAATATTCTTACATGAGCAAAAAATAGCCATAAAATGACCTAATGGGACATAGACACATCTAACTTCCTATCTGTGTGGAGAACCACCAATGGAAGTCTTTAATACAATGAAAAATAGAATTTTGTTTTTAATTCATGAAAACAGTTAAGTAATAGAGCTTAAGCATGAGAATGCATACTGGAAAATCTTGGGTTTACTTTTTCTATGTTCCAACTCTAAAGGACTGAAAAATTCAAAGATACTCTAGAGAGTTTTTAAATGTTATGAAAATGAGACTGGGAGGAGAGAGTATTTACTGAGCATGCATTACATGTCAGGCAGCACAGCCTGGCACTTGCTTACTTCTTACCCACCTACTCTGCCTAGGATCCAAATGGCTGCCAGGAAACGTATTGTAAGAGCCTGAGGGCAGGGGCCTAGTTTAATTGTGCATTGTGCTCTCACACGTAGCCTAGCACATAATTTGTAAAAACACCCTTGTGCTAAATATTTGTGTATCTCTAGAATGCTGGTTTCTGATTGAGACAGCAAAGACCCTGCCACTACCGGAGTTTGCCACTACCGGAGTTCCTCCAAGTTCACTGAACAAAAGGAAGGAACAAGATTGTCTGAAGATATGGTCAACCTTGCTTTTTAGTACAAAATGAGGCAAGTAAGGTTGTGAACAAACTTTCATAAATTACTTCTTGCCTTCTTGTGAAACATGAAATAATCTCATGAGAATAATGGTTAGAGGAAAGCTTCTTATTGAGCTGTTTTCATCATCTGCAAATCACAATAGCTAACATTAAGAGCTTACTTATTTAACGAGCATTGTCAGTGATTTACAAGAATTAACTCATAACCTTAAGAGAAAGGTCATATTATTATTTATATTTTACACATGGTACTGGCTTTTTGTGTAGCCACTAATAGTAACTTGTTTAACTTTTTCCCACAAATAAACTGAATCTAGATTTTTTTTTTTTTTTTTGCTGCTTTTATGCTTTTAGTTTAGTTCCAATTCTTGGAACACCGACAGCTATTTAGAATGTAGAATGTAGATATTGATTACCGCTGTAATGGTAAAGGTTTTGAACTCAATTGTTACTTTACCATTGCAAGTTTTGGGTTCATGTCTCCTTCTATTCTAAGCCCTGAATATCTACATTATTTTTGCTTTCTTCTCTAAAAGAGTCTGGATTGAATTTTTAAAGCGTGCTCACGACAGAAGTGCACATAAATAAGTGACTGTCACGTTGGCTATATGGTGCCATATGGCCTTTGCATCTTTTCCCATTGCATTTGTGCCCTCCAGGCTTTCTGTATTTTCTATCAGTGGTTTCTGGTTTTCTCCCCTGGGTGTCTTGCATAGCACTAGTGCCTACTAAATCAAACTTGCTTTTGACAGACAATTTGTATAATTTATTGGTATGTAGGAGTCTCAAAAATGTTTTTGTATCTCCAGTGACTTGGCGTAAACTGGATGGTGATGGTCCAGAAAATTATCCTCCCAGCCCCTCAGAAATCACGTGTGACTCCTGCCATGATTAACTTGAGTCAGCTTAGATGTTGTGTTTGATTTTAAATGCAGTTTGCTGTCAACCCATTTTGAAATAATTATAATGAATCTTCAGATTGGATGTGTATTCTGTTCAGTGGGTGGCAGATCTGTTTCTAAACATATTTCTTCATGAAGCAGATTCCTAGAAGGGTTTATATTTCTTATTCTTTATAGTAAACATCACCCCATAATAGTTGCATTTGCTTGTCAGCAGCAAAGGTTGTGTGTGTGTGTGTGTATGAGAATGGGTAGAACTCAAGTGTACATATCTACTTTTATTTTTGTTTTTAGTGTATCATCTGAGGTTCATTCCTCCTGAAAGAAAAAGGATCAAAGAGGCCGAGGAATGTATAATGAAGACACTAAATGATTTAGTCAATTTCAGAGAAATGGATATCTGATTTATTTATAATAATCAAAATGGTAATTTTGTTTTAATTATCTGGATAATTGCAATTCCACTTGTTATGACTCCAGGTCCACGAAAGAGTGTGACTTTGGGAGACATGGTGCAGATATGTTGTCACTGATTTTTAACTAGTATATACTAAATTAACAAAGTCAACATTCTAGCTTACCATACCCATTAGGATTCATATTTCTTTCTGGTTATTTTTCCAAAAGTTTGGAAGGCATAGATGCCTGTGTTTTTATCTAATCACTTCAAAATCACCAACAAGCAGTTGTATTGCAGTTGTATTCTGTGAAAGGTTTTGAACAATAATATCTAGATCAATCATGAATTTTAGGAAATTATTTTTACAGATATTTTTCTCTGCTGCCAGAACTTTGGAAATGTTCCATAGAGTGAAAGCCTAATAGGGCTTCTGGTTACCATAAGACTTTTGGAATTTCAATAGAAATGAAAGACAGTCTATGTAAAAACTTCTTAAGATTTTACGAACCTGTTTAACTTCCTACAATTTGTTTTTTTAGAAGGTATGTTTATTATTTCCTATCTGATTTCTTTCAGAATGGAGCAATGAATTCTGAAAATGAGAATGGCCCATGATATTTATCCCTAGGTCTCTCCTCTCAGCCCAGATGCATAAACACAGCTGCCCATGTGACACGTCTACTTGGGTGACACTCAGGGACCTCAGTGCTCACACATCAAAATGGGTCTCTTGATTCCTTGTCCCCATCTCCTCCTCTAGGCTTTCCCAACCAAGAAAAAGGCACTGATATCCACACAGTTGCCAAGCCAAAAAGTTTATTTAAACATTTTAATTCCAGTTTATAGCCTACAGAGCAAAAAGAGCATACTGATGCATACAGTTCAACCAAACTTCTACTTATGAATATGCTGTGTAATCACCACTTGGATTATTTCCAAGATGCCAGAAGGCTCTCCTGTGACCTTCTGGGAGTCATTGATTTCTTGTTTTTCACTCTCGCTGTTCTTCCATAATTTATCTCAAGCCTTTTCACTTTTATTCATTTTCTTTGCTTTCACCATGATAATCTTTCACCTGGACAATTAGAATAATGGTCTCCCCACTATTTCTTTCACCAATTCATTATCTCTACAGAATAATCTTTTAAAAATTACAACACCGATCATTTCATCCCATTCATCCTTAATCTTGCATTTACACTTAGAATAAGAGGAAAATGCACTATTAGGGCTTACAATAAATGCCTTTAAAAAGTGGTCCCTGGAAACCCTCCAATCTCATCCCCTCTGCTCTCAGCATCACTGCTTCCAGGTGTCTGAGTCTGTTGCTGGCTGGTTTTGGTTGTTGTTGCTGCTGCTGCTTTGAGCTCCTATAAAATGCCCTTAAGACCTTTTGCACGGTGTTCCTTTGATATGAAGGTTTTTCATCTTCTTTTTCTCTCCTCCCACCCCACTTCCATTCCACACTCATGCCCATACTTACATATTCTCTTCAGTTGGCTAGCTCCTTCTCATCCTCCTTTCTCAGTTTAAACGTCATCTCTCCATAAAGTGCTTTTACCCCCAACCTAAAAGACAGTTTTCAATTACTCCCAGAAAGTCATGTCCTTTTTCTTTACACCACTGAACACAGTTTGCAATTTTTATATTTAAGAGTTTCTTCTAGTTGTGTATCACCTAACCTCTGCTAACTGAGGTCCTTAGGGAGGAACCGAAGATGTTATTTCAATCCTATGTTCTTAACAACAGCACTGCACCCAGCATACAGGAAGTACTTAGTAAATAACTACTGAATGAATAAACAAATAAATGGCTGTGTACTTGTCTCTGAGAACAATGCAAAAAGGAAAAACTGAGCAGAAACAGAGGACAATGTACACAGCGCATCTGAAGAAAGGTTTACCATGGGAAACATTTTTCTTCTCAATTAAATGTATTTCAAAAATGGATCCTGGAAGGTGCCTGTTTTCTTGAGCCCAGCACTACTCTGAGACAAGCATGTCCTCCTAGAATATCCCTGGAGAAGAATTCAGCTGACATAAGTCAGTTTATCTCCTGGTTAACTCACATGTCCATTCACCACAGTCCATCTCACTCCATTGGGTTGGGGCACCACCTGGGGCAAGATATTTGCAGACAACTCACTGGTTTGTTTCTGTAATTCCAATAGACTTGGCAGATGATCTGAATCCTGGAACATGGTGCAGGCTGAAAGCAGGGGATGGAGTAGCATGGGGAGGCTTAAAAGAGGGATGGTAGGAAATCTTCTGGGGGACGAATATAAGGTTGGATTCTATGTGAGTAGTGAATTTTTAATTTTGTTTTGTTTTGTTTTCTTTTTTTGCATTGCAGTTCACCTCTGATCATCCTAAGCCATAGTAAAATGTTAAATAACATAATCTGGTGGGTGTTGTACTTTGGGGATTTCAAAGTGGACACTGGTTCAATGTTTGGTGCTTAGCCATAATAAGGCAGAATGGCAGCAGCCCAGAACAGAGCTATGATGTGGAAAGAGGTGTCCAACAAAGTTGCTTAGAGCAGCAGATCAGAACAAGAGCTGACAAATCACTACAGGATGGATTTGTCCAACATGTCAGCATTCCTTAGGATTTACAGAAATACAAGGGGAAGAGAGCTGACTTCCCATGGCTGTACAGGATAGGGCACATTCCATGTCAGTTGGTATTAATGAGATGAGTGATCCCTGAAGCCTAGAGAACTTGGAGACATTTGGGTTACCCTTCTTGGGTAACAAGGCTAAAATTTCCTCATTTAGGCATTCCCATCTCAAAGTATATTGCAACTCAGAAAAACATCCACTACATTTGGGGCTTTAAATATTTTTTAAAAAGCAGAAACACTGGCTGAATTAACTGGATCATCCATCTGGTATACTTTGGATTGAATCAGCACACTTTTCTTTCTTCAAAACTCCTAAAGTGATCAGCCAACTTAGGAAATGAGAAATTTAATGGACGTGCATGGAAGTAGTGTAGAGAAAGGTCACTTTTGTCCCTGGTGGCCTGTCAGAGTATATATGGGAGTGACAGAGTTAGGCTTTAGGAATCCTAGTTACAAAAGAAAACAATGTTTAGGGTGTGGAGTAGTGAGAGAAGACCGGAGTATGAGAAGTGACACATTGCCAAAGGGATATTCTGCTGCCTTGTAATTTTGCTTTTGCTATATTCAATCATCTTCAAGTGAGTCAGCAATGTAATTGGATGCAGTTGCTAAAATAGCCAAATAAAATAATCAGCCCTAACCAACTGAATATTTTGGAGGGTGAGAGAGAAATAGAGAACATTTATAATATGTGGCTTTACTGCCCACACTAATGCTCAACAAATTTCACTTGAATTCTGAATGATAAAGATGGGATTGTTTTACCGGCTTTGTGGGATAATTGGCTCAAGTCATCTGTGTATTTCATGGAATATTATGCCTCGATCTAAGAGTAAATACTTAAAGTATTTATTTTCAAGTAGAGATGATCATGTGTGTCATTCCTGGCTGAAACATGAGTGCAGCAAAAACAGGCTGTAACTCTATATTCATGATTTAGAATAGAGGCTGACATTCATCAGGGACTTACTTTGTGCCAAGCCCTGTGCTAAGAACTCTGCCTGCATATTTTATGCCATCCTAGCAACAACCCTTTGAGATTGGTACCATAATGATCCCATATTCCACATATGAGGAAAGAGATGCTCTAAGACGTTCCCCAACCTACTCAAGTCCTCACTGCTGAGAAGGAGTCAGACCAGAAGTTGGGCAGTGCTGTTTGAATTCAGAACCCATGACCCGTCTGCTATGCAACAGTACTGCAGCCAATCAGTAGCAGCAGCTATCACTGCTATGTTTCCTATGGATGCAGAGTAAAATGAATGGAAGAGCAACAGGGTACCTAGTGCTGGAAATATTAGTTAAGAAGTTTGTACTTCATTCATATATTGTCAACCCCAATTTTGGCATCTGATTATAGCCAAGGTGTGGAACAGTGGCTGAAATCAGGAGTCATCATCCCTGGAGCTAGCATTGGCTCCTGCTGTGAGTCCTTGGAAAAATCATTTAGGCTACCTGGACCCACATGTGTGATATGAAGGGGTTAAATGATCTTATAAGTCATAAAACTTTTCCAGCTCTAACATTCCGAGAGTCTAAAAGTCATGAGAGTATGAATCTTCCCCCACCCTCAGCAAATGGGATTAATTTCCAACATGTTCTGTGGCACACTCTGATGTTGTAACCCAATGACGTAACTCAAGATCAATGTAGGTCTTCTAAATGGGCTTTGGCCAAAGGAAGAGAAAGTCATACCACCTGGCCGCTTGGAAGCAGACAAAAACTTGCAAAAAGGTGGGCAAGAAAACACTTTGCTATCATTGCTCCAGCATGTTTTTATCCAATGTATTTTCTTTCACAGATTGTCTCAAGGTGCAAGCTTCCAGGATTTTTAGATGGAATTTGCATCGTGGCTGGTTATAGTTTCTCCAGTGGCCTGTCTTCTGGAGTTAGCAATTCTCACAAGTAAGAAAGTTTGTTGAGAAGTGAAAGAGTGATTTGAATGTATATGTGTTTACTTTTCATAAATACTTTTATAAATTCTGAGATATGGGGTCTGATTCTCTCCTAAATCGGGTTGCCTGATGAAACACAAGGTTGAAGTTAAATTTAAATGTCAGGTAAATTAGGAATTACACAGGATACCCTTATACTAAAAAATTATTTCTTATCTAAAATTTTATTTGATAAATATGGCAGTCTTACTCATGGAAGAAATAATATTTTATTTAGCTGTTTGAGTGGGATGTAGGTCAAAGCTGTCATAAGCTGTAACACTGACAATTTGGACTTGCATTTATTACTTTGCCCATGTCAATACTCTAGTGTTAAACATTTCCCAAGCTATCAATGTGCTTTCAGTGGGTGTGTTTGTGTTTAAATTTCTGAGGTTATAAGTTTCTCTTTTTTAAAGGAACACACACACACACACACACACACACACACACCATGAAACTCATTCATAAAAATCAAAGAGATCCTAAGCATTGATATGAGGACTTCTAAAGAATGTAGCATATTTTGGCTAACATCTGTGACTGTGTTCTTTGAACTAATTGGGAAATATTGCATGCTGGCAGGCTTTAATAGAGAAATATGTTTTCTCTTAAGGGTGATTTGTCTAATTGGCTGTAGAAATGCTTTCTCTCGGCTTCAGAAAGCTTTTTTCCCATTTGTTAATGGTTCAGCTTCCCCACCCTTCCCCCACTCCAAGGCTGATGTTACACAGTGTTCACTGAACTCTGTTCGGAATTCTGTCATTAATCTGGACAAGGGTTCAGACCTGAATCAACTTGAGATAACGCATTTCACCTTTTGGCTAGCAATGACTTCCTTTACGCAAGGTGTTGAAAGAGATGATCTCTGAAATTCCATAGTCTGCCATTTCTCATCCGAAGCAGGGATGGGCCTAGGGAGGGGAAAAGGATAAATCAAGAAAGTGCATTATGGTTTCATTTCAAAGCTCTCCCATCCTGGGCCCTTTGGCTACAGTGAGACTAGGTTGTCCCAAAAATATGTATTAAAAAATATCTTCTGTTTCTTAAATGTCCTCTGGACTCCAAATAATTTAACATTTTGCTATAAAAACAAAAAATTTATCTATAATATTAGAGACTCCAAAAATTGTGTCTGTGTCATACTATATATCAAGGTATTGAATGCATCTTAATATGCGAGGAAAATTTTCAGGTTGATGGTTGGTAAAGGAAAGGTGATATCTAGGAGGCCACACAAAATGAAAAGAGACGCTGGTTCAGGTGATTGTATTAATGTGGAGAGCCAGACAATTGGCTAGGTCAGGAAGCCAAATGAGTCATACTGACTCATATTTTCATACCATTTCAAAGACAATGCATATGGAAGGACTGCGTGATCTGTTCTCAGACTAGATTAATTTCTAGTTTCATAACCTTCATTGCCCTTAATACAGCAGACAGGACACTGATATCATCGGCAGAATGCTGCAGAAAAACAGGTGAAGATAAACACTGGTGCCCTTCCTCTGCCAAACAGTCAAACCCTGAAGAAGAGACAAGGTGTGAGTCTCACTATTTCCTTTCAAAGGGTAAAATCAAGGTTATTTCAATGTATTTTCCAAACATCAGTTCTGGTGAGAACATCGATTTGATTTCTAACTCAGAGACTCATGTTTGATATTACTGCAAAATAGTTAAAGGCATAGAATACCTCCTAGAAAGAAAGATTCCATAATGCTACCTATACAGAAACGATTTGTAACTCATCCTTCATCTAAAAACTCAGGTTTTTATTATTTATTTATTTATGTGCTAAAGAAGTACATTGCTGAAATATCCATTTAAGATGTAAACCTTTATTACAATAACTGTTCCTCCAGCTAGTGAAATCTCAAATATTCCTTTAAACAATGTACATAGAGTATATCTGACTCAGCCCTGTCCTAAGAAAGAGAGAAAAAATGAAATTCCTGGGAAAGGATGCTTCTTGGTGGAGGGGACATGCATTGGACAGGTTTACTATTGGGAGAAGTGGCTTTGAGAGGCTAAAAAGTCATCTTTTACAGGCCTCTGTCAGGTCTTTGAAGTCCTTTCTGATTGAGATTTGTCTAAGTTTTCACGACCTCTCTCGTCCTTTTTCTTCACTGAAAATAACAGCAAGTAGTTTAAAAGGCATAAAACTTGACACATCAGGAGGAGTGATCTCTCTGGTTCATTCCAATTGTCATTTATTAATTACTACATGAGTGGTTTGTGATTGTGATGGTCTTAGTTTAGTCTACAATATCTCTGGTAATTTCCTTTAGAGAGTCAAGCTACAATTTTTTAAAAAGCAAATGGTTGACTTCCAAGTAGGTGTGTCCCTATGAACTTCTTCTCTTTCCTTAGTGTTCAAAAGATGTACACAACGTGGTTTTAAAAAATTTAATGAAAGTAAGTTTCTGATATCTGATTTGTGCTGAATTTTCTTTTTCTTTTAAAGATAATCCCCTATCATATCCCAATATTTAAACCTAATTAACCTAGGGAAAAAGGAATGAAAAAAAAATAGCATTGCATTTGCTTTGTGGATCTTTTCAGGTACTTATTACAGAGGTCAGAACTCTATGAAGAAGCAATGTTTTCCTATATTGTTCCCAGTTAGCTTTGTTTGATGAATCAAATTAGATACAATGTGAGCAGAGTTCTTCTAATAGTGGGATGGTTCATAAATTCTTAAAGCAACAATGATGATTGCAAAGGATTTTTATCTGAATGTTTTAGTTTGGCATAGTATTGAACTTTTAAAGTATAGACTTGCATATTCCTTATCAGCTAAACCAGCCATGACTATATAATTGTAAAACTTCAAAGTATTTAGGATGAATTTAATAGAAAAAAAAAGGTGACAGCATTAAACTTTGTCTTTATTGCATTTCTTCATTAATACCAGATACCAGTGGGATTTGGTGATACAATTATGAGACTATGCCTAGGGAGAACTATAAAATAATTTGATAAATAAGACTATTGAAATTAAATAAGTTTAAAAAGCACTTAAGTGGTAATATTAATAATTTAAAATAAAAGATAGCCAAACCAGTAAGAGATTTATAGGTATAAATAAATATCTGTTTTACATGTATCTTCATTCTGAAAAATAGGGATACTCACTAAAATGTTTCTAGGAAAATAATTATATTTTTCAGATACTAACAAGATAAAGTGGAAAACCAGACTAGTTGTTGACTTGAATAAAGTCATTCTATCTTCTACCTCCAATAATAAAAACAAAAGCATATAAGCATAAGCATAAAGAGAGAAGCATATAAGCACAGATACCAAATTTACATCTCAATCATCAAATATTTCCAGATGACAGACATTTTTGAGGGCTTAGTATGTGTTCTTGCTTTAATAGGAAAACAAATGGCCTTTGAAATAAAAATGAAATGCTTTATTTCTTATACAAAATATTCTTGAGATGACTAGAAGAAAACCAGTGACTAAATTCAACAAAGATTCAAATATTTCATGACACTTCTAGGTCACAGTCACACATATTTTTCTTTGCTTTTCTACAATAAGTTCAAGTGAGTAAATATGGAGTTGGCATGAAAGCCTGATGAGAAACTAAATTTACAAATTCATATTACTTTATGTACTTTCTTCTCTTGATAATTGAAAATTCACTTTTGCAATTTACACTGCGAATCTATTAACAGAATACAAATGGCTATACCTACATTTTTACATGCTCTTTCTCCTACCTAAGTAACTCTGGCTTCCCTGACTTTCTCACATTTTTTTCTGAACAAAAAGAGTCAGGGCTAACTATGAGTGGGGAGATGAGAATTTTTGTTTTTATATCATGGATTTGAATAAATTTTCTGAATAAAATAATTAGTAAATTGGAAATTTAGTCTGAATGATCATGGTTTTCACCTTAGGGTCATCCTCTGAAATACACACCACCTGAATTTTATTCAGTATTTTGTCTCTGTCCTTGATTCTGATAATTTCAATAATGCACATAATGAAGAAACAATCCTCTCCCTCTCTTCTTATCTTGTTAATTTTCAGACCTTAGAAGTCTGCCATATTGACCTTGGAAACTCCTAGCTTTGTATGTTGTTTGATCTCATTCTGGCTTCAAGCTGTGTGCAGCATGTTAAACATCCTTGAGGTACCCAATTCTTGTCTCTCTGGAAGCCCAAGGTATAATACAATGTCTCAAGTCTTTTCTCATGTACCCCTGCTTTTCTATTTCTGACCCCCACAGAATCAGAGAAATTGTAAACAACATTATATCTCCTTTTGAACTAAAATTGGCTTATCCCTACAAATTCCCTTTTTTTTCTTTTCTTCAGAGGTTAGCATCCTCTGTGTTTATTATGCTCCAGTGTTCCATCCCTCCCAATTTATTTACAGCCCATTAAAAGCCAAACATTTGGAAGCAAATCCAATGTAAATATTGGAAAGATTCCTGGTTCTAATTGAGATATATTGACTTAGTCTTCACAAACTCAAGGCATGTACTTTAGCATTTTTCTTTTTGTTTTCCCTATGGATTCTATCTAAACTGCACACACACACACACACACACACACACACACATGCACACACCCTCAATTTTAAAAAAATAGGTCTGTGCTCAAGCAGGAATTGTCGAAATCAAAGTAGATTAGAGTCTTTGAAGAGAGGGCTTAAGAGCATACTGCTCCCCCAAAATCACTGGTTTCAGAATGGCTTTGAGCTCTGAGATTGAAAAGTAGAGTTTCTTCTTTCTGATTGCAAAAGTAATAAATGACTGTGAAGAGGATTTTGAAAATACAAGAAAAAAAATTCAAGCAAAAGAGAATCTTATGTACAATCTCACCACGAGAGAAAACCACTGTTTACACATTACTATATTTCCCACATATGTTATGGCAATTAAAAATATAATCACTCTAGATAGATAATTTATATCCAGCTTATATTTTTCATCTTAGTATTTCATAATGAGCATTACATTTACATGCTCTGAAAACGCATGGCATATATGTACTAGCATTCATTTAGCCATGCTAGGAACTTTAAAAATCTATTCTTCTGCCCAAGAAGATAATTTCTTACATGTGTGTAGTTCTCAAAGGGCTTTCAGATACTTTACCCGACTTAGATCCTCAACAAGTCAAGAAAGATATTTTCATCTTCATTTCACAAATGAATAACTGAGTCCTGGAAGATTTGTACCTGGAACCTAAGATGAGAGGGATCTGAGCCAGGGCCCATAGGTATCTGCTTCACCTTTGTTCATGGTGTCAGTGGCAGAGGAAAGCCGATGACAACTAAACCTGAATGTTACAAACTGATCGGAGGAATGGTCCGCAATCCTGTCTTTGTGTTCTCTGCTTCTCTTAATGGTGCCTCCTAGGATCTAAAGCTGAGTGTCGTCTTTAAGAAATCTCCCTTCTTTATGCTAATATGGAATGGCAGGAAAGGCAAATCTCTGTGGCTTACAGAACAATTCTAAACTCTGTGGCCGGAAATTAATGCTGTTTGTGGTCCAGACCCTGCCACCTCTCCCACATCCACCCACTGTACACCTGATGCAAGTTTTTCTCCAAGTATGAGCTGTGTTCCCTTCACAACGGAATCACTTGTGATGATGGTTCATGATAGGTTCTGGGGCCTCATTGAGACTGCTGAAATATAATATCTGGAGGTGGACATGAGAACCTTCCATTTTAAATAGTTTATTATTCTTAAGTATGAGAGAATGCAGGAATGTTCCAGGGAAACTGAATCACTCTTTTTCTTAGCATGCCCATATTTCCCACCATCTGTGCTTTTCTCAGATGGTTCCTCTCTTTACTTTCTGCATGCTCAACTCTTGTTCACTGATCTGGTTTGGCTGTCTCCCCACCCAAATCTCATCTTGAATTGTAGCTCCCATAATCCCCACATGTTGTGGGAGGGAACTAGTAGGAGGTAATTGAATCATGGGGGTAGGTTTTTCCATTGCTGTTCTCATGATAGAGAGTAAGTCACATGAGATCTGATGGTTTTATAAAGGACAGTTCTCCTGCACACTCTCCTGCCTTATGCCATGTAAGATGTGCCTTTGCTCCCCCTTTGCCTTCTGCCATGATTGTGAGGCCTCTCCAGCCATATGGAACTGTGAGTTCATTAAAACTCCTTTTCTTTATAAATTACCCTGTGTCAGATATGTCTTTATTAGCATATTCAAAACAAACTAATACACTCACTCCTCAAAGCCCAGATGAAATGCCACCTCTATTAACAGCACTACCTGGGTGGCACCATCTCTAAATAACTTCTCCTTTTCTTGAGCTCCTATGCACTCACTATTTACTGAAGGAACCCACATTGCTCACTCTCCTACTGTACTTTAGAAACTGCATTTACTGAGTAACTCTGTCACATATTTGTAAATTAGTTATGAAACCTAAGACAACATATTTTATCTGGAGGAATTATGATGCTTCTACTTGTTTTCAAGAGTCTTAATTTGCATACCTTTGGTCATTCTCTTTGGATACACAGACATTCAGCTGGAATCTGAGTCAAGACTCTTCATGAAGAAGGAATGATTTCTTTACCACTTCTTCCAAAGACTACTCATGGATGTTTTAAGAAAATCCAGGCCTCCTATCATGGGCAGCAGGGGAAGCGATACATAGAAGTAGACTGTGTGACTTAGAGCAGAGCTCAGAAGTTCAAGTTTATGTAGCAGCCAGGCAAGTAATATAAGTGAACGAAGGTGATTCCGGGCAAGGTACTAAGTAGCTTCGGATATTAGACATTATATTGAGGCACAGTGGAGGCCATGGTGGCCTAGGGGAGGCAGCCTTGTGCAGAGAGTCAATAGATTCCAACTAATCATCACCAGTCATGATTGCAGGCCCAGTGTTGCAAATATTCAACATTTTAAAGAGAATCCATAAATTGATTTTTATGAGACAGCTTCTGATTTTTAATATTGACAACTAATTCAAGTTTAAAACACCAGGTAGGCAGTGCAGGCCAAGACATTTACAGGTAATTTATTTCATGCAGCACAATGCCGTAAACCAGGATTTTACAGCTTTCTCTTTTCCTGAAACACTGTTTGAGTCAGCGCCTTCTATCTTGAGAGTCTTAAGGGAAGGTAGAAATTATTTCAATCCAGTTCTTCTTCCAGTCAGGAAAAAAAAAATTCTGGCAGTTCCTAGATTTGGGTATTCCATAAATTCTGAGAAAGAGCTAAGCCAAGTATAGATGCTCTGACTCCAGGCTCAGAGTTCCTGAGAGGGAGAGATGGGGTATGGTGTTGGGGGTGGGGTGCAGATTGGTTTCTCCCTCAGTAGAGCAGGCTGCATATGTGCTTAGTCATATCTCCCTTTCACGAGGTGCGAGTAATTAAGGAACTGCATGCTGTTTCTACTATCAGAGGTACAGGCTCCTGGGAACCAGTTTGAAGCAAGCTGGGGTAGACTGAGGTGGCTCTGACACTTTCTGGCTTCAAGCTGTGGCCAGAGGATCTTGACTGTATTTTCTAGCTTTGATGATACAATGGCAGTGACTAGTTAGGGCATTGTTATTTTGTAATTTATAAAATCATTTTATAATTTGATTGACATAAACATTGTCAGCGTAAGTGATGTGCATTTACTAGCGCATTGGTGACATTTATGGAAGGAAATGTTTTGTGGGCCTTTTAAGCCCAGGGAATCTCAAGAAAACAGGGGAAGGAATTGCTTTCAGTTTGTTTGATGTCTGTAATTAGAGGTCATTAGAGGAGTTCCTGTTCTCCTAAGGGTTGTCACCTCTGTTTTCTATGGCCACATACAGAGGCAGCTGTAATTTGCACAAGGTCAGTCAGACCTGTCCCCTAAGTGACAGTGGTAATAAGGGATGTGTGTAGTGAGTGCAGCTAAGTTTGTGTGTGGTGCCATTCCTAGGGCAGCCCTTCCTCTCACGGCATCGGACCTCCTCGGAACACAGCTCACCTATGCTCCAGGGTCCCTTTGAGGTCACTAGGCTCTGCCTCATACATTTTCTTTCAGATTAGAAGGGGTCCAGGGCAGCACAGTGCAGTTCTGGCAGGCTAGGGCTCTCACAGGAGCCTCGCCACTAAATCTAATACCTGAGTTAGCAAGCCTCAGCTTTCTCATCCCATTTTTAAACTGTTTTCACTACAGGACGTGCCAGGGAAACATGGCACACAGCTAAATTAAGGTGAGTAGCTAACCAAATCCCTTGTGCCTCCCTATGCTGAAGAGAGAGACACTTTATTGCTCCACCTCATAAACTTGGGACCAGCCCCATGAGCCATGAGGCAGGTAAAGGGGAAACTTGACAATTGCCTGGTAATTGTCATAACCTGACTTGCATTTTGAGTGCTTGGCTCATCCTGACATTAACTGAACAACTGAGTGTTTCCTTTGTGGTTTCCTGGATGATTAAGATGCCTATTATTTTTAATAAAATAAAATAAAATAAATACACATATTTTAATACAATAAACAATAATACATTTAAATTTTATAATACATTAAAATTTAATGAGATACAATTAAATAATAAAGAAAAAATAACATATTATTTTTGCTAAAATATATTTAAAAATCTTACCTTCAATCAAATAACATATATTCCAGGAAATTCTTAGATGTCAGCTGTGTTCTCTGCAGAGCAGCTACTTATGTGGTAGCATGAACCAGTTTATTAAGGAGCATCACAGGACAAGGAACGTCTGTCTGGCAGAAGTAACTTCAGTCTGCTCCTCTCACCTTTGAGAGAGAAGACTGGCCCATTTTGTTTTTTTTTTTCTTTTTGTCTCATAAGTGAACGTGCTGCATGTTTCACAGAGGGCAGAAAAGAGGAAGTTCATATTCCTCTGGACGCTACCAGGTGCCAGGGCTTAGAGCCCACGTGTCGCTGTGGGTGAGAGGCACGGTTCAAAGCCTTCGTCTTCCTAATCGTTAACAAATGTCCTCTCTCCCAGGAGGGAGAGTGCGAAACAATGAGGACGTGTGAGAAATAGCTCTTAGCTGGCCTGGGGAGCTCAAGCCTGGGTGCACATCAAAACGATCACCACAGACGCTTCAGTGCCAAGCTTGCTGCTCTGAGACATCCAAATGCCTGGCTGCTGAAGTGAACAGTGGCCAAGTGGATTCCAGAAATCTCATGGGAACAGCATCTGCTGCTGCGGCTTCTCTGTGGCTCATTCAAACCCCTGGTACATAAAAATGGTGGAAAAAGATAACTTTGAACCACCAGGGTAAGGTGTTTACATAGGGCCTGAGCTAACCATTCAGGCCACATGTTTTTATTTTGTTCTACTCCACCCCACCCCACTCCACCCCTACAATATCTGTGAGTGTAAAGGGCTCCACCCTTTCACAACATTTCCTCACTCTTTCATCAAATATTCTTAAGCCCTTTGCATCCCAGTAAAGCTGGCATATGGTGGTTGAAGTCAGCGGCTACTGCATATTAGTAAATAGTGCTTAAATAGTCGACCTACAAAGTGTCTGTTCTGACCACAAGTTTCAACTATCCAGAGCAACAAGGGTAAACACAACAGACTGGGCATTAAGCCTGGGTTTGTGGTTTTCCATGAAGCCCTAAGAAAGAGTGACAGGGCTGCCATAAGGGACCAGATAGAGAGGCAGAGTTCTGGAAGCCCCACACCCACTTTAATCCGAACAACCCTGCTTAGCTCTTCCATAATTGTTGCTATGAGTGTTGTTTAACTATATTTTGTACTTAAGTACATGTTATCATTTAAAGAAAAATAAAGTATAAACAATATCTGAGTATTAAAAAGAAGTTATGACTTCTTTTTACCAGCTTCCAACTCCCACCTTCTACAAATGATACACTACAATATAGAGACAGCAAGTGCTCTTGGAATTAATCGTGGTTATTTGGAATTATTTGAGGTTTCTGAGGCATCACCTTATGTGAACCACTAAAAAGTACTATTTTTGGCTCCAATACAATTCTCTCGACACATTTGAGCACTTTCTATATGCGAGACACTCTGCTAGGTGCTAGGAACAGAAGGAACACACCCTCTTGGTATCAGCTGCCTAAGGATAATTCAACTTCTATTGCCTTAGTTAGCTGAAACCAAACTTAGCATCTTTCTCACCATCCTTTTTACTACCCCAGCTACACTCATCTGGCTTTCCCTATTTGTTGAAGTGCCAGTTTATACGATCACTTTTCATACTTTGTTTTCTTTTGTTGCCTGAGTCACTTCTCTCACATTGACTTCAACTCCTTGTCCTGATATAGTACTTTAATAGTTTATACCTGGACTACAGTTCTCACTAGATGGTTCTTCAGAGCAGACACCTGTGGAGTAGCTCTGATGGCATTGAGGTTGAGGGGAGGAGAAGAGCACGCAGCCCTCCTGAAAGAGTGACATGCACCAACTCAGAGTCAGGAAAGGAGCACGGGGTCCCCTGAGTGGTAGGGGAAGAGAGTCAACATCCCATGTGGGATATGTGACCAGGTGACCAACTTCCTCCTGTTCCATGGTGGTAACGCCTCCAGTAGCCAGGAGGAATTGGATGAGAATTTGGTGTCTCAGGATTGTTCCTGGTAGGAAGTGACCCAGAGAAACAACTATCCTGGCATTTTGACCCAAGTCCTTAATAGTACTCCTCTACTACCATCCTTCATCATGTCATCCTTCAAAGCTCTCTTCAAGCTATATTTCCTCCCCAAAACACCCCCTGTAATGTTGCCATTTCCTGACCTCCTTCCTACTCCCTAACTGTATTTGCCAAATAGCTTCCCCCTTCACACTGCTTCAGCCTTTCATTTACTTGGCATTTTATTATTGGTATTCAGTGCAGGCTTTTTCTAATTGCTTAATTGTCTTTCAAGGCTATCAGATAGCCAACCAGCCCTGCCTTCCCTTTTTCTCCTTCTGTGCTAGTTACATAGAGATATCTAAGAAATGAGTTGCTAGATTAATTTGTACTCAACCCATTAATTTAAGGGGAATAGTGCATAGAGAATCTGGCCTTTGCCAGGTACTGACTACACCCATGTGCTTATTCAGTAATACTGAAAAGCTTATCTATAACTGAGGAACCAACCATTGGTGATAAAATCTACTTAAAGATTCTTTGTGATCAGTGCTTTGTTGATTGTAGTTTGATTAGAGATATTTACTAGTCTTGTGTGTGTGTGTGTGTGTGTGTGTGTGTGTGTCATTGCTCTTTACATTACTCTTGAGGGGTTTCTTAGGAGAGTAAAGTCTGAGAATTATTTGTTGTCTTTGAGAAGTAGCCCAATACATTCACTCATTTTCTTTCAGTTATGTCTAGATCTTGTGTGCAGCAAACTGAATATGAAACTATTTTCCCTGCAGAAATAATGAAAACATCTTTCCATGGCTTCGACTTTCTTCCAAGGGATGACTGGGGCATCACAACAGAGGAACACGGTCATGACCTTTAATGTTTCTCTTTAATGGGGTGGATAGTAGGAGGAATCTCAGGGAATGATATGCCAAGTAGCCCCCACTGAGCACTTTGAACTCATCAGTTTTGTAGGCTTTCAAGTCAGATGACTCTATTTTGTTGACTACAAAATAATATATTTATTTATTGCAATAAAAGTCGTCTGTGAGAAATGTGACTGGGACTTAATCTGTGGTCCAATGCTGATAGAAGAAAACTTTAATGAGGATTTTGTGGTCCAACTGTTTCTCCCACTACTTCAGAATGCTTTCGGTCACACAGGGTTAAGATAATGGCCATCAGGCCATTTCATTCTTCACATTTCTGGTCAGAGATAAATGAGAATACGCTTCCCTGCTGTGCAAACATCCTTTTTATGAATACTGGGTGAACAAGAATGTAAGCTCATTTGGCTGCAGAGAAAACTAACAGAATTGGAAATGCAGAGCATTAAAGCTCAGAGTCTAAGAGCAGGCTTTCAAAGTACAAGTGAGTTAAAAAAAAAGTATTACAGAATAAGCAGCAAAGCTGAAATGAAAATGGCTCAGCATAATAAACCTGCAGTGTGACACCAGTGGATCCCACTGGTACACCCAAGTGACCCACATGTTTTGCTCTTGTAGAAAATAGTTATCGTGTCTCAGAAATAAGGACAGCTCACACTGTCTCCAAGATTCAATAGTTAATTTGTGCTCGTACCATCCAACTCATCTTATAACACTCATTACTTATGCAGACATTTCACGATGAACCCCTAGGTGTCTTGTGACACATTTCTCATATATCATAACTTAGCTTGTAAAGCACTGTTTTATTTTATCCTCTTTATGGCATACCTTCCCACATGAAGTCTAAACAATTTAAAGTCAAGGACTATGCCTGCTTCAGTGGTCTGGAGGAAAGAAAAGTCCTTAAACCTTAGTTAAACACAGTGCAGCTGCCTTTGAATAAATGCTCTTTGGAGTCTGAAAGAGTGAGAAAAGACATACATGTTTCTACTTCTGTTCAGAGTGTATAGATGTAGTAGACAGCATGTTCAGGGAGTGTCTGCCTATGCATTCTAATACCAACCAAATAATTACACAACAGCCAACCAGTCACGCAAAGGACCAAGCCCAGGAGCGTTGCTCAAATTCGGGAATGGTTGTCCTTTTCATGTAAAAAAAAACAAAAAACAAAAAAAGCACATGTAGCTAGCTTTTGCATTACTAGGCCAGCCTCCCAGCCCTAAAGATCAGCTTGAACTGAATGAAAATTAGATAGAATACAGATTCAGTGGCCTAAATACTGCCCATGGGCAAAGATGAGAGCATACCGGTTTCCAAATAGGAGAATTCAGCCCATTTTTTACCCAGACATTCTTTGAAGCTTCAGAAGTTTCAATTCATCAGTGGCAAATGAGGAGAATTCTATGAACCAAATGCCCACCTGTAACCATGAATTGCAGCGATAAAATCATTAATAGCCATTGACTTTCTAGGAATAAAGCAATGTGTTCAAAGTAGACCTTATAATTAGGAGAATGTGCTGTAATCAAGTCTCCAGATCCAGAAAACGGAAGGAAAAAAAGGACCATTTGGTGAAAAAAGGCTTTGACTCTTTTGATTTTGCAGGACTTTAATAACGTTGGCTCAGTTTGACTTCTCAAGGCTGGAACGTGACCAATACATTAGCAATGCTGATTGGCTTTGATGAGAGGTTTCTGAAAAGAAATACATGCACAGAAGTAAGTGAAAACCTTAAGCAAAATTTGGTTTTCATAGGTTAGCTATCTGGATTTGAAAACATAATCCTACCTGATCACTCTCTTTGTTCATTTGTCTGTGTTTTCTTTGTTCTCCTCCCCCTCCTGCTTTCTCTCTCATCTCTTTATTTTATTCTTCTTTTTTATAATATGCTTCTCTTAGAGTAAGATTTTCATCTTCAAATGCAGCATTTTCAAGAAAACGTTGAATTTTTAAAATACAATAAGCTGATTTGCAATCAGTGAATGTACATGGGTTCAGGATAGGCTTTGAATTGTGCTCACATCCCACTGATGTGAATGGGGACATGCAGGAGCCCCATCTTTGTAGACTTCTGGCAGTACAAGGATAAGTAACAAAATAAAGAAAGACTCTCTATGAGCAGTGTGATCTGCGAAGATGAGACAGAGACCCTGGGATCTGAGTGACTGTGAAATACCCCTAATGAACTCTCTCTCGCTCCCTTCCCTCTGAGCTCCCTTCCAGAGTAGGGAAGCCTACTCAGCAAGCCATCACGCTTGAAAGTGCAGCAGTTGGAAGAAGAAAGACAAAAGTCTGAGGCTGAAGGGAGATTCTGAATTAGTGATGAGCTGCTGCATCCCACATGCAGAGGCTTCTTTCAATTCCTGGGGAAAGTGTTTTATTAAACACACCACAATCCTTTGCAGCGTCCTTCGTTAACTTTCTTTTTTGCTAACAGGGTAGCTGGAAATAAGCAGATTGAGTTTTCTGTTTATCTATGGGCTATGTAAACAGCTTCTACAGCCCAGTGAGGCAAGCAGTAGGGTTATGTTTGAAGAGTCTGTTATATTTATATTGAATCTGGCAAAACACTCATTGGCCACATTCACAGGCTATGGAAGCTACTTACAAAAGATGTGAGCTGGAGGAAATTTGGACCTGGAACACATTCGGTGCAAATTTGATTTTGTCTATTTTATCTTTCCATTATCCACACTTGATTCCCCCCTCCCCCTTTTTCTTTCTTTCTCTCTCGCCTGTGCTTTTGATTTTGATTTCTCCCCAGGGGTTCTTATACAAAGATAACATAATTAATTCATTGGATCCATTCAGAATGAAAATGCTTAAATTGATTATTTAGACTTATGGAACAAAAAGCTAAACAAAATGCAGCACCAACACAACAACGATCCTGCATTTCACTGGGTTTTCCCTCTTAATAGTTGTGTCCATACATGGTACTTAGAAACAGCCCTTTTTCAAATGGAAATTTTCAACATCAGAAATGATTGATCTGGACCCACCTTTCCAGAGCTCTTGCTTCATACAGCTCCTCATTCATACAGTCAGGCTCTTGCATACAATAAGCCACCCTCTGTGCTGAGGGCAGACCCAAGACTGGGGACCAGGGGTGAATTACCCACTGGAGATAATACACAGTAGCTAGTATTCTTGCCTGTAGAGATCAAGTGTCTGACGGTGGAGATCTGACAAATATCACAGGGAAAATGCACTTTTGTTTTTACAGCATGCAGATATACACACAGTATGGAAACTTAGAAAATAGATTGTTCTTGATAATTGAATATTCTGCCAAGCCAAATTGGTCCATTCTCCGATTCTTGATAAATTAAATACTATAGAGCTTCAATATTCAATACTACAATTCTAAAAATAATTTGGTCTCTCTGAGGATTCTAATGTTTTTGCAGCATTTATTGGCTAAGTCCAGGAATAATTAAGGAAAAGGCAAGATGGGGAGTGGATTAAATCAGATCACTTTAAGTGTTATAATTTTGGGAGTGGATTCAATCAGTTCACTTTAAGTGTCATAATTTTATCACCAATATAATTTTTTCAAAGTGCTTTTGAAGTTAATATTGGTCACTGATTAAGATAGTCCCTTTCTGGTTTCCTCAGCATGAAGTTACTATTTTTCCCTCTGAATACCGTCTACTTAGTAAGAAAGTCACCAAGTCCAGGATAAATTTAGGAAGAGAACAATGGAGCTCCACATTCCAGAGTTTTTTGTTTTTGAAACATTTTTTGAAATTCTTTTGTAAGGAAGGTTTGTCAATTTCTCCCCATTTGTGTATTTATTTATTCAATGATTTATTTATATCAAATAGATTCATATATATATATAAACACATATATTTTATAATTTGGGTGATAATCAAATGCTAACTTGTTTTGTTACTCAAATTCTCCTAGCTTTGACCTCGGGAAAAGTAGTGCTGATGTGCACAACCTGCAACAACTTAAGAGTGTCTTTTGCAGCATGACTGCAACAATTGTATTAACGGAAGTGGAGTGAAAGTAAATTTTGAGCAAATTTCTGCAAGAGAAACTCCTAGAGTACAGCCAGGAAATTGCACAATAGGTGCCATTCAGTGGTGGAGCAGCAGTTCATGTTGTTGGTATCGTGCTTAATGAAGGTAATGAAAAGTAAGAAACGCAATGCAGAGCTGATGTTGCATTGGCTGCATCTAATCACACTGGAAGGAAGCTTTGTATCAACTGATGACAAGTTTGTGTTTTTGAGTATACTGCTTTGAAGATGATGTCTTCACCAATGCCTAAATGGATCAGAAATGTTAACACAAAGAATATATAACATAAATTTTAATCTTATGATTACTTGTTGTAATATATTGAGAATCAAAATTTCTATCATTGGAACAATGAATACACTAACCTGTAACTTACAGTCCTACATATGAACCACTAACACATAGTGAGCTAATCAAGTATGAAAAATAGGTCTCGTAAACAATATGGGTACTTGTTTTTTTTATGAGAGAGGAAAAAAAAGAAATGGAAATAGTAGCATGGTTATTGGCAGAAGAAAAAACTGCATTAAAGAAATGTTACTTGGGGAGATGAAAATTAGTTACCAAAATCAGCCTGATTTCCATACAAAACATAACAGAACATTATCATATATACTGAATATATACAATTTTTAGATTGATTCCTATAGAACATGTGCCTCCACTCCCCTTTTTTCACATGCCTCTTATATTTTGGAACATCTTAATGCAGTCATGTTTTGAATGCTACCGGGAAGGTTCTTAAAATGTTCCCACTCAAGAAAAGTACATGCCTTATTTCTGTGTTTTAGGACAAAAGATGTTTACCTATGTTGTGCCTCTATCTAGAAAGCTTTCTCTCTCTCTCTCTCTCTCTCTCTCTCTCTCTCTCTCACACACACACACACACAAACATATACACACTGACTGGCACCTGTTCACCTGTTCATCATTCAGGACTCAGCTTAACCCTCAGTTCTCAAGAAGTGTTTCCTTGGTTCACTCTTAATATTGGCCGCCACTCTTATTCTGTCTTAAACTCTGTCAAGAAGGAAAACTTTTTTCTCTCCCTCTTATGTTTAGTCCCTGGGGGCATAAAAAATAAAAATTTTATTAATATTTACATGCATGGGAGTTCACAGAAATTCAGATAAATAGTTAGACTTGGAGGCTTATGTACCCTTTTAAAAAAGGAAAGAAGGTTTGGACTTCAAGAGACCATAAATCATGGGGAAGTGACTAGGATATATGTGAAGGAACTAACTGAAGGTAAGGGCTGTTTTAGTAAGGTCTGTTTTTACAAACTTGTCTTGCTTGGTATTAACTCCCTGTCTTTGATGATAAGAGTTTTCTTCTCTGGATGGTGGGGTGGGAAGAGGAAGGGAGGAGTTCAAAAATTTATTCTCTGCTTTTAGGAAAATATGGGAGGAAAGAACTCTTCTAGCCTCTGTTGATTCTTGATTGCCCTTAGCTCAAAATCGTTCTATGCTAAGTGGCTAATTTTAGGGTAGCACAGTCTGATTGTCTTCAATACTCTGTTCTTGACCTTAGTGGCATTTCTGATAGTTTTTCAAATTTATGTAATATTGGTCTCCCCTACTAGACTGTAATCTCACTGAAGGTGAGAGCCTTTTCTATTATTTATCTCTATACACAGAACACTAACATAGGTCCTGGCCCCATATATTTATTGATAAATATATGATTGTGTGAATGAGATAGGACTTAAGCAAAAAATGCTTTTTGATTTGGTAAAATAAATAGCCTCTTTCATGAAGTTGTAGAACATAATTGAGATACTTTGTTGGAAGAAATGCTGATATGCTTTAAATTGTTTATGCCAATAAAACTACTTACGTACATAGCTTTAGTAAGATGCTTTGTAAATTGTAAGCACTTTTCTATATACAAGTTCAACCTGCCCCAAATTTCTCTAAAGTAGTATCTTCATTTCTCAAAAAATAAAACTGAATGAGATGTCAAAAGGCGAAATGAATTAGCTGAACAACAAAATACTTGTGAGAACAGTGAGAAAATGAGTACTACCTTCTGGTTAGACAGTGAGCAATCTCCAAGGGGCAGCTGGCATCTCACGTGACTTGATAAGGATGAGGCATCACGAGAGTCATCCTACAATGTGTAGGTCTGTTTATATTTTCTGGTGAGTGGTTTTAGTTTTTCCCCTAAAGTCACAGACACACTCCACAGGGTCATGCTAATGGTAACAAGCAGCAAGGATTTTCCTAGATTTAATCTTCTTTTCTTTCTATGGCATTAGAGTATGTTATAATGACTGCTATCAGAAATTAGTTTACTATCTTCTTGTCACGTGTTTGCTTATATACAAATTTCACAAACTTATAGGAAATAGTAGTTCTTTCTGTCTTTTAAAGTTATCTAAATTTTGTTCCAATCCCCGTCTGACCCAGCCAGTGTCAAGTTCTATCCCATTCCCCAAGGGAAAATCCTCCTTGTCTGTTACCATGTAGAAGTCTCAGTGTCCTGACACTCTGAAGATGTAAAACGGGTTCCCTGGACACTGATTACTTCCCCATGACTAATGTCCCGGTCTACTGCTTCAGGTAGAAAGACTCTGCTGTTCCCATGTTGCGGTGAAGCTGGGAGCCTCACCAGGGAGCAGCACAAAACCATTTGCTCTGGGATCTGCTATCTCTCTGGGGTGCTGCCAAAGAGAGGGCAAGATTGCCACTCCTCCAGGGAACCCCACCCCATGCACACACTTCCTCCCAGCTGTAGGAGTCTCTCTTCCTTTTCTGTCTTTTTTCCTCAGAGACATCCCTCTCTAACATCCCCTCTGGGACACTCAACATCGCTTCGATGACCTTAGGCATTAGAAAAGGCAAAAAGAAACACTAACATCTGCTTCTTCTGTTTTCCACCCTGAAAAAGTCTGCAAAGCAAAACAGGAATAAGGAATGAGTAAGCTCTGTGAAACAGGGGAGGGAAAAACATGAGGAGGACAAACACGGTATTTCTAACATGACATTCTATTATAGACATTCCTAGATGGAGCATCCTGATGGTGATAAATGCATCTTTGAAATTTTGATGTTAAAGTGACTAGTGTTGTCTTTGGCATAATAGATCCTTACATGTTGTGGAAAAAAGGGGGAAAAGGGGATAAAAAAAGGAATGAAGAGAGAGAGGCCAAAAAAAAGGTGAGAAAGAAGGTGGGAGGAATATAATTATATATATCAATGCAATATGCATTGAATATAGAAATATGCCAATCAAGCTGCTAAATATTATTGGTAATATAAAAATGCATGAGTTCCCCAGGAGCTTGAAAGTTAGAAGAGGAGACATATATATAAATACCTCTAAAACACAACTAATGTGGAGCCATAGCATATACAATACCAAGTATCTATCATATGCACAGTTCCCCTAAAAGAGACCACCCTGAGGCAGACATACCTTGGTCACTGTGACTCCAAACATCTAGTCCCAGATGATTGTATTAGAAGAGGCACCTGACCCAAAGGTATTTCTCCAGTAAACTAAGAAATAGCCTTTTGTACAAAAATGAGCTGAGTCAGTCAGTCTCTCTAGGTGGTGAAGTAGCTAGCATGGGGAGCTGAAAAAGTCTGCAAAGGACACGACAGCCAGAGTATGGGCATGTCTCCTGGATCGGGAGGAAACTGAAGTTATGAAAAGCAGAAATTAAGAGGAAGTACAGGTTTCCACATATACTGAAAAGAAAATGCCAAAACTGAGCAGATAAAGAATGAGGAAACATTTCCATACAGAATGGAGAAAAAAAAGACACATGCCACTGGGTACATAATTTTTTGAGAAAGGTTTATAGCGACAGAGAGAGCAGGCATGTGGCTCAGGATTATGAAGGAACTAGTGGATGGCTTCTGGAGTGGCCTCATCTTGTGACAGTTCCAGTTCTGGCACATATGTATCCTTATGAGCGACTCCCTTTCTTAATAAGGTATCTTATATGAGGTTTTCTGTCCTGTATCACTGAAGATACAGGTGAAAACAAGAGTCCTGAAGAGAAAAGACAGTAGAGTCCACCAGCATAAAGACAACAGCAACAATCCCTAGCCGAGGGTTTTCAGCTCTGGCCAACCCTCAGGGTTACTTGTCCTGCTGCAACTTTAAAGTACACCGAGGTCTGAAAATTCTGACGAGTTTAAAAACAAACAGATCTAAGGTGGAGTCCAAACATCCCCTTTTTTTAAAACTGAATCACAGGAATTCTCAGCATAGCCAGAGGTGAGATGAATGCAGTGGCTATGCCTTTCAGTATGAAGCAACCCTGAACATCATTAGCTTTTGCAAAAGCTCCGTTTTTTGCTCTATTTTGTGATCTTGGAAAACTTCAGACTCTCACTTTCTTCCTTCCAAGTTAAAAAATATATCATGATGTGAGTTGTTGAGGTGTTTATCCTGTGACTAGATATCTAAACAGCCCAACTTAGAAGCCACCATTATTTTTAATCATCTGCTTTTTCTCGCTATTCCATTCTATTTCTTCCTTTCTTATTTTATTAACTAAATATCTACAATATTAAAGGAATAGTATTACAGCTTGCATCCTAGCTACTGGGATGTAGATACACACACACACACACACACACACACACACACACACACACACACAATTACAAGGGAAAGTCATAGATGATATACATTATAACGTAACAGCAACTTCAAGTTAACTATCCAATGTTACAAAATAATGTTTCCTAAAATGCCTGATTTCAAGATTGCTCAATCTGTTCACATGGCTCTTGATGTGTAATTTTCCCTTTAAATTCTCTCCTCTTCCCTGAACTGCTAATTTCTGACCTCAACACCAGTTTGGTGATGTATGTACAATTTTTTCCACTCCCAAATACTTTCCAAATGATTCTGTCTTCAAAATATTTACCTCTAGTTAGTGTCATTTAAATAACAAAGGCATTAGCATATGTACCCAGCCCCAAAGACAGGCATATGTAAAAACAGCACACTAAGCTGGAAGGGTAGCCCCGGAAAACAGTCAGATAGTCATACTGAGCCCTGATTTAATTTGGTAAATATCATCTGGCTACTGGGAAATCATGAGACATATTGTAGCAACAAAGCAGCATGTCTCCTACAATAACCTTTTTATTTATTTAATCCAGTTCATTAATAAAGATCTTCTTCTCATTTTCCTGATGTACAAATACTCCAAAACCATGGGCTCACATTTTGACAGCTAATTTTGCAGGATATAATATTCCTGCTTAGCCCAAGAGGAAAAAGAGATGTATGATTGAGATTAATCATTTGTAAAATTATAATTCTGTCACAGATAATAATTTGCAAGGTCTTTCCCTTTTCTGAAATCCCCAGAATGCACTGTAAATTGTCACACTTTGTAACAGAATGTGTAATACATTAGGGGACTCCTAATAAAGCAAGTCTGCTAGAAAAACAAACCAATTGCCTTATAATTGGCATGTTCTCCCACATGACTATTCTCCTGTGAAGGAACATTGTGCCTTGGGTAAAGAAGGGTTTAAAAATTATTATTCAAGAGGTGGTTATCTCCATCTCTTATTACCATTTGAGCTGTAATATATGGTATTTCTTTGCCTTGTGTAATTCTGTTAGAATATACAACTGTGTGCCCAGAAGGTGAATTGATCCCTGTGGACAAATGAGCAAATTCAGAAATTTTTAATTATTTTCCAATTTAAGAAAGACTATCAAAATGGACATGCAAAAATGGACTTTTTATGAATGGCTCCATGGGTCCATGATGGATAGCGCTTGCTGTTTTACAAGCAGAACTCTCTGTGAACTTTATTTTTAAAGTCAATTTTATAGGCACTTAATACTGTTTCAACAACAAAAACAAAGAAACTGTAAGGATTTTACCTAAGGTTGGCAGATAATTCTTAGGTTATATAGGACTTGATGAAAGAAGGTCTGTGAGCCTCTATAGTTTCTTGGCCCATTTTTAGCTAAATTGATTAGTGTAGAAGCTAATAAGATCAAGGTTATGAGTTCAATTTATGTGTGGTCAACTAGCTTTGCTGCATCCACATCTGCTGACTATAGTCAAATCCAACAGTCTCAAGAATATATGCCAAAGGGGTACACTGAAGAGAGAGTTTAAGTGAGTCAAAATGCTGCCTAATTCTTGTTAAGAAGTATTATTCAAAGGTCTGCTCTCCCAAAAGCTGAACATTCTCACCAATCCCACTGCCACTACTTTGGTGTGAGCCACGATTACCTCCTGTTAAGATTATTTCAGTAGCTTCCAGCTCTTCTCCCTGCTACATCCCTTGCCTTCTTCAGATTATTTCAACAAAGCAACAGAGTAATCCTGTTAAATGAAAGTCAGAACTTGTCACTCTTCTGCCCAAAACTCTTTGATGGCTTCCCAACCAACTCCAAGTAAGAGCCAAAGTCTGTGCTCTAGGCTGTTTGTATTCCTCTCCATCTAGTCCCTCCAGTCTTTCCGGAACCCAATGGCAATCTCTTCTCCCACTCCCTCTGTTACATCTGGCATAAGCTCCGCAGTAAGCTTAGGCTTTCACAACATCTTAGGAAAAGACTGTTTATCAGCAGATTTTGTGCCGTAAGATAGTACCTGAGAAAAGGAGGGCAAAAGACCTGGTTTCCTTCTTGAAATCAGGAGAGGGAGAAAAATGAGAACAAAAGCATAAATAGATCCCATCTTTTTTTTGTGAACCATAAAAGAAAAACACAAAATAATATTTTAACATTTCATAAATATAAATTATCCCACTATGTATACATAGAAGTCTCTGATTGCCTCAAAGAAAGAAAGAACTTCCCTAAATCTTTTGTAAGCACACAGCCTGAGGCAGTGGAGTGTGACACAATTTAAATCAGGAGGTGATTTAGGAAGGTTTGCTTTGAGCCTCAGTAAAGTAGGATAAAAATACACAGGGCCAGATTAAGGCACTTATACATTTTGGAAGAAAATGATACAAATCTTCGAGTATACATTAGTCAACTTAATGAGGGAAGTCACATAAGAATTTTTTTTTTTTTAGCAGTTAACTCTCTAAGTGGAAAAACAATGATTTATATTTACAAACTTATATAATCTCATCATTCTAGGTGCTGGTTGGTAGATTAATGAACAAAATAGAGAACAACCCTGCCTTCATGGGGATTAAATTATAGTGGAAGGAAACTATTAAAGACACAATAAGTATATTGTATCTTGTGTTAGAAGTTGGCAAGTGCTATGATTTAAACAAAAATGTGGACTTCCGCAAGGGACACCAAGAATCCTGAGGGTGGCGTTGGCGCTGGACATATGTAGCTATATGTTGTATACATTTTAGAATAGCAAGGAGGACATTATCATTCCCGTTCTATACATCTTGGAATTCTTGGCTATTGGCTAGCAGAGATGTGCCTGAAGCTTGGCTTTTTTAAAAAGAGATTCATGTCGTATTCATTAGTTTATTCCTTACTTCTTTCTTAGGTAATGAAATAACATCATGTTGACAGGAAGTCCCTTTACTCATACTGAATGCCTTACTTTAAAAGTATTTTTCTGGCCGGGCGTGGTGGCTCACGCCTGTAATCCCAGCACTTTGGAAGGCCAAGGCGGGCGGTTCACGAGGTCAAGAGATCGAGACCATCCTGGCCAACATGGTGAAACCCCATCTCCACTAAAAAAAAATACAAAAAATTAGCTGGGTGTGGTAAGGTGCGCCTGTAGTCCCAGCTACTCGGGAGGTTGAGGGAGGACAACTGCTTGAACCCAGGAGGTGGAGACTGCAGTGAGCCGAGATTGTGCCACTGCACTCCAGCCTGGCACCTGGCGACAAAAAAAAAAAATAAAAATAAAAAAACAAAAAGTAAAAAAAAATAAAAAAGCATTTTTCCATGCCAAGCACTTGGTGCTAATCCTAACCCATACACTAGGGTTTGGTTTCTGTGCAGCCATGAACTGTCTACGTGCCTCCTCACTCCCATGCCTGCAGAAGCAGCAAGCACTGATGGAGAGCCAGGTGTCTCATGTTCTGTTGACACCTGGAGGTGGTCAGCTCAGTCTTTATGGCCACGTGCTTTATATAAGATTTCTTTAAGACAAAAAAATGCAAAGCAAATATGTTGAACAAGTATATGGCAATAGCTTTTTAAGATGAGGCATTTTTTAAAGCTGTCCTTAGGATTTCTCACTTTGAATGTTTACAACGTTTCTTGGTAGAAAGTATTGTGTATTCAAGGGCTCTAGAAAATGTGTATTCAAAAGCTGTTTCCAAGATTAAATTAGGAAGTAAAAATGAAAAATAAAAAAAAAAGAAAGACAGGTACCTAGTAGGAAATGTATATATTCACTGTCTTTATCACCAAGAAATGTGCTACAAAAACAGTCCACCCAAGACAAATAAAGTAACCATGGTTTGGAGGTAGTAGCTAATACATGGAAAAAGCTTAAGCAATTTTTAAAAAATAATTTGGGCTACTGTCTTGGAAAATTTTAATCTTTACTTTGATGTAAGTAAGGGAAAAGTAAAAACAAAAAAATGCCTGGAGAGTGGCTGAAAGTCTTGACCTTCTATGATATGTAAAAGTGATTTGCGTTTACCCTGCACATGTCTATTTTCTTTAGCCATTTGTTTTTGACTATTGCTTTGTGGTGTCGCCCCTGCTACAAGAATATGAAATACTCCTGTATCTCTAAAATCAGTGATATTCCTTAACATCTGGATTTCTTGGACATCTGCCTTAGACCACTCACCACTCACAAGAAACAGGAGACCACCATTACCACAAATAACATCTAGCCCGGCTTAGAGTTAACTGATACATTGAGCTATAAAATTCATCCTGGGTTCAAGAGACATGGGCCTGAAGAGAATCAGATGGTGGGTCTAATTGAAAAGTTAACAACCTCTGCTATTCTTATCTATATATGCTTTATATGGACTTCATGCAGGTCTGAGCTCCTAAACTAATGAATGAGACTACGCCTACACACAATCAAAACAACTAGCGGAAAACTGGAAAATCTAATCACCCAGGTGTTTTGCCTGCATAATCTCTTACAGCCCATTTGACTAATTGTTTTCACTATGTTGAATCTTTTCATTTTAATAACTGTTTTTTCCCATATGATAAATGTGGGAAATATATACAATTTAGTATAAATGTATTTTTTTAAATCCAGAATTCCTATGCTGTTAACATTTTTTTATATCTCTTCCAAGTCTTTTTAATAAATGCCATATCTTTCTGTATGTGTATGTGTGTATTTTTGCATATATTCTCTCCATATTATTTTATAACTTGTTTTTCAGCTAAAAATAAATGATAATTATCTTAGGTTATTAAATATTATTTTCCAGCATGAATTTAATTATTGAATAGCACCGTAATTCTCAACGATCACCTGTTGTTGAATAACTAAACTGCTTTAAATTTTCAAAGCTATAAATACATAAAGTATTGATGAACAATCTTACACATAAATTTGGTGCATGTATCAAATTATTCATTTTGATTATAATCCAAATAAATTCTTGCTGGAAATATACTCATAAAATTGATTAGTAATTAGTCGTGACATGAAAGAGACTAGGCAAATTTGTTTAACAACTACTTGTTTTCCTTTAGTCTCATGGGACCAAAACCAGCAGAATAATATTATTTTACAATTTGATACTGGATGTGTTCAGTGAAGTGCTTTTACATACACAAGCTCATTTTGATGGAAAACCTTACATCATCTCTGTGTGCTTGCTGGGAAAAAAGTAAGAGGGCCAACACTTCCTGGCCTGTGTTAGTCTTTGCATATGTTATCTCATTATGGTGGGATTTAAACAGGTGGCGGAGAATTGATTAACGTATTGCTATTACTCAGGGTATTAAATGCATAGTGATCAGAGGCAATTCAGACACAGGAATGTTTGAAGCTTTGTCTTCTATTGAATGTAAGTCTAAAAGGAGATTTGCTATTAGACTTCCTGTTTGGGAAGTTAACTGCCTCTGAAATAGAAGCATAGGCATTAGTCGGGTGGATCTTTTTACAAAAATTTCATGATTTATTTAAAAAAATAAATTTTTTAGGCCTGGCGCGGTGGCTCAAGCCTGTAATCCCAGCACTTTGGGAGGCCAAGGTGGGTGGATCATAAGGTCAAGAGATCGAGACCATCCTGGTCAACATGGTGAAACCCCGTCTCTACTAAAAATACAAAAAATTAGCTGGGCGTGGTGGTGCGTGCCTGTAATCCCAGCTACTCAGGAGGCTGAGGCAGGAGAATTGCCTGAACCCAAGAGGCGGCAGTTGCGGTGAGCCGAGATCGCACCATTGCACTCCAGCCTGGGTAACAAGAGCGAAACTCCATCTCAAAAAAATAAAAATAAAAATAAAATAAAATAAAAAATAAATAAATTTTTAATTTGCTTTCTACAAGTATTTATTTGCTTATTTATTTTACGGATTTGGTCTTACTATGTTGTCCATGCTGGAGTGCAATAGGCATTCACAGGTGTCATCATAGCACACTGCAGACTTAAACTCCTGGGTTAAAGTGATCCTCCTACCTCAGCCTCTTTAGTAGCTGTGACCACAGCCACATGCCACCACAGCTGACTGGGTGGGCCTTTTATCAGATTATGACAAAGGCATCAGAATTTGTGTAGATGTTAATCAAGAAAATTTCTTTGGGATCTGTACAGCCACTGTGCATGGCTTACACCCTCTTGGTCATAACACACAAATCAAGAGGCACTTCTCCGGTCATTGCCCTCAACCACATATGGCATCATGGGGCTTTCTGAAGGTCTCTGGGATCTATCTGAGCTGGATTTCTAGAACAGCATCCATTTGGGCATAGTTACTTGATGTCTCTTGGGTTCTAGCTGAACTAGAGCCCAGAAAGACACAAGTCCCAAGGATTTCAGTCCATCTTTCTTTTCCTAATTGTTTCTCATAGTTCTGCTACTTCTGATAAAGACTATTATTTCCCAAGGCTGAAGTTACAACATGACTTCTCTGGATTCACTCTGGCCTTCTGCACCATTTAGAACTTGAAATGTAAGACTTTTCTATTTGGTGGGAAGCAAGTTAACTTTTAGCATACTTTAGCCTTTTTTTGCAGAAGTCAAGGGTTTGTACTAGCAGTTCTTTGTGGAGAGGGCTGCACATGGACACCAGCCAAGGACTTCCAATATATGTTCCTATAAAATAAATAATGTGCTTGGACATTATCTGTTGGGAGAGACTAGGATCGTATGCAAACACAGTCCATTTGGGAAGAAAGCAACTGTTTTATTATAGAAGATAATCAGTAAATCAAATCAAATACTAATTATAATTTGTCCCTATACATTTTAAACCAGTACCAAATAAATATTATAAAAACAGGGTAAAAGAGTGTGTTCAGATTTACCCAATTTTACATAATATGTTTCTATGAACATGGCAGAATATTCAATGTTATTCACTAGCATTCTGAGAGGTAAAGATCTGAAAGAGTTTTTTTAATGCTTCAGATAGGGGTTGTTTGGACTAATGCATGGAGAAAGAAAGGCTCAATATTTTGAGCTTTTTAAGAACCGAGACATGTGAAGCATGCAAAGTAAGAAAATAACTCAAGTTTCTTTTCAAGTTTCTGCATAAATCTAAATGGCTCATTAGTAATTAAAGTATACCCTAATTGCTCTGAGGCCATCCAACTGGAATAAACCCTGGCAGCCTTGTTCACTTGCTGTGGGAAAGAATCAGCTCCACCCCAGTGAGAGGGAAATCAAAAAAACCCGTGAGGAGGCCTTTGCCTAGTAGCACAATGTGTTCACTCCTGCACATCCACCAAAGCAGGCCCCTGGGTCATCCAACAAGCCATTCTTGCTCAAAGAAGTGGAGATGTGAAATGGGTACAGATAACCACAGCCATGATGCATTGTGCAAGTGAATAAAAAGTAAAACATTTCTTTAACTTGAGTCATGGCTTTCGACTTTCAACTTTATGCAGGAAGAACTAGCAATGGCTAGAGAATGAATTTGAAAGACTAAACATGTGCCATTGGATTTATAAAATAATCTCATACACAACATCACAACTTTGCCCAGGGGTAAGTTCCCCTAGAAAAGTCACATTGCCCAGTTGTTATCTTTAAAAGTAACAGTTCACTTGCTTTTAAGTAACTTTTAAAATTTTATTTATTTATTTTTACAAATACTGTTATATTTGTATGCCTTAACTTGTCAGCGTATCTCTGTGTGTATACCAATAGCTGCAGTTCGTTTGTTTTACTAGTTCAGTTTGGGAATCCTAGAGTTTTATTGCATTTGCTGTTAAAACGAAAACCAAAACAAAAATCAAACAAATAAAAAACTTAGTATTGCTTTAACGGACACTGGCTGTCATATAAGACCACTGCTTTGAATGTAATAAAAGACCAAACCATTTTACCATCAGGCTTAGTAATTACATGTGTGTCATTTTAATTAAAGCAACTAATGTTCTCTTAGTGTCCATTAGGAGCTATAAAACCAGGAAGCCCAAAATTTATTGCACTCTCCTAGGAAGGAAGATATCACATCTCAAAAGTAGTTTATTGTATATTGGTTTGATGTTTATGAACTCCAGGAGTGTTACTCTTGGTTCTAAAAAGCTGAGGCAATTTGGGACATACTTCAGTTGCAGATAGTATTAATTTGAAACAAATAGAATGAAACAATCTTATCTAACACTGTTTAAGAAGTTAATTAAAGAAGGGAAGGTCATAGATTTGGAAATTAAGTACACTCAATAACAAGGCTAATGTCTCTTAGTAATCAGAGTAATAATTGTAAATGGTGGTCACTGAATGGATGATCTAAATAAATTTATACGTAGGAAATTATACCTATAAATAATGAGTTTCTGAGTCAAACAGTCTAAAATAAAAATATATTAGACCTTTAAGAATACTGTATCCAGGGCTGGATGCGGTGGCTTACGCCTGTAATCTCAGCACTTTGGGAGGCTGAGGTGGGTGGATCACCTGCGGTCAAAAGCTTGAGATCAGCCTGGACAATATGGTAAAACCCTGTCTCTACTAAAAATACAAAAATTAGCTGAGAGTGGTGGCAGACGCCTGCAACAGCAGCTACTTGGAAGTCATCGAGGCAGGAGAATGGCTTGAATCGGGAAGGTGAAGGTTGCAGTGAGCTGAGATCGCACCACTGCACTCCAGCCTGGGTGACAAGAGTAAAACAATGTCTCAAAAAAAAAATACTGTATTCATCTATTCTCAAACAATAACAACGCTTTATGTAAGCTACATAAAGCATAAAATATTCATTAAAATATTTCTTGCTCTGTCATGAGAATGTAAATGTGGATAATTGGTCATACTTCTGTTAAAGAGGAGAGGAAGTCCTCATTTCAGGTCCCATATAAGAAACAAGAGATAGGATTGGATGTCATAATTGACACAGAGGGATATGGGTTATCTGATCCCTAAGGGACTAAAACCAGAGGGACCTGTGTCATATTTCTTTACTGCTGTAACCTTTTTGATATAATTTAAAGAAAGAAGCCTTTTAACAGAAAGACTACGGAGACTCCAAAGTGGGGATTATGTGAATAATACTTAATATTATCTAGTGCAGAAACTATAAGTATTTGAAATATATCCCTTTTGTCTAAACCTGGAGTTCTGAATGTTTCTCTCAATGCTTAGAAATAAGCAGATTAATTAACATAGGGCCTGGCAAAGAGAAGGGAATCTCCCCTGATCTTTGGCCAAGAATGTTCCTCAAACATTTTCCAACAAGCTAGCAAGGCAGGCATTATTACATCATCATTTTACAAACAAGAAAACTGAGACTTAGCAAGATCAGACAACTCTTTCAATGTCACCCTGAAGAAGACGGCAAAGCAGGATGCCCTGTGTGCTGACTCTATCAAATGCTTTTTCAAATAGAAGAATGAAAATAGCTAATGAGGTAGAAAATGTGAGCATAAAGAAGGTATGTTTAATTGGTTAAGTCAAATAGATGATTTAGAAACTGGAGGAAAAATGACTCACAAGTCACTGCTACAAACCCCAGCCCTTCTGAAGATAGCAAGGAGGCACTGGTCCTAACAGAAGAGGAACGAGAACATTTTTGGATTAAAGATGAAGATC